GTACAAGTTGATGATTCCTAAAATATGAAATATGTCAGATATGCTACAGATGTTTCCAAACATTGCAAAAATGCTGTGAATGTTTATTACTGTTGATCAGTTCACCATAGAGTTAATACTACTGTATACTGGAGCATTCATTAGCAAAGAGCTGTAGATACTATTATATATATACAGTATAATGCACTTTACTATATTACAGGTCAAAAACACTATAGTGTTTACTACTGTATTCAGTGTTTTTGGTCATCTTTTTCCTTTTGAATGTGTGTGTGTGTGTGTGTGTGTGTGTGTGTGTATATATATAAAAATAAAGACTAAATATGAACAATGGAAATGTTTGATGTGTGGATTTTAAATTTATTTCAATATTACTGTTAAGACATACTCCATTTTATACTTCACCATTTTATAAAAGGCTTTGTTTAATCTTAAATAAACGATTGTGTATTTTGTTTGCGTTAGGTTGTTGTGACTCAATGTTGGGTGAAATATTGACAAACTCAAATGTTTATGCCATCAATCCATCTCTTCTTGTCTTGTTTCTTTCTTTGAATTAGCAGGATTTGAACGTGAGTAACATAAGACAGTCGAGTGATGTCGTTTGGAAAATGTTTAATAACTTAACTGAACTATATTACACGGTCAAAAAACTGTTTTGCTTTTATCTTCATGACACAACTTCTTCCTTCCCGGAAGTGACATCAGCATATACTCTATATTAAAAATTTAATTACTATTAGTAAAATATTTTCAAGTTTTGCTTTTCACATTATTTTTAATTTATCATAAATAAAACGAAGAAATTACGGCTCTTATATCAAAGTTTGGGTAAATGCTTTTGCTGGATTTGTCCATATTTGACCCAACATTGGATTAAAACAACCTATTTTTATAACATATAAAGTAAAATGCACTGTACTACTGTAAATGTGTATATTTTGACGTGAGTCTGATGGGAATCAATACACAAACTTTCTCAGATGATATAATGAAAGTAATAATGCAGTAAAATGAGTGTGCGTGTCCTTCTGGAAAGTTCTCTGACCTTTATCACACTGTAATCTCACCTTTTCCCTCGTGCTGTTATCTGTGATCGATTAAACAACACGGAGAGCCAGTCAGGTCAAACGTTAAGCCCATATTATATTAACCCTCTGTGAGGGAGTTCAAGGCCAGCTGGAGGCCACGTCTGCTCGGTTCTCCTGACTGTAGATGTTTATTCTGACTGTAAACTCACTCAGCGATGTAAAGGGCTTCATTAACTGCTGGTCATTTATTAACACTCCAGGAAACAAGCACACGCTATTATTAATATTAGTCACTTCCCTATCAGATAATAATAGTTGTTTTCAATGAATAAGGAAGCAGAAAAAGATTTCATTTCTGTCCACAGAAACCAACATAAACCACACGAAAACAAAACAGCAGCAAGAACTGTACTATAGTCAGGATCAAAAACACTACAGTGTTCACTATATGGAGTGTACTACATGTTCTATAGTAGCTCACTTTACAACACTACTGCATTCATCTTATGGGGAGTGTCTCAATGGTGTCAAACTCATTCCTGGAGGGCCGGTGTCCTGCATAACATAGCTCTAATTTCCTCCAAGACACCTGCCTGACGGTATACATGGAAAGAGCTTTTTTAGCTGCTTCGGTGTGTTTAATTGGGGTTGGAACCAAAACATGCAGGAGACCAGCCCTCCAGGAGCGAGTCTGGGCACCTCTGGTAGTTAGTGTGCACTTGAGTCGATGTTCCCTGCAGACTCTTCTAGAAGATGATCATCCCTCCTGACACCTGCTGGCTGATATTAAAATCACACCTAACGAACAGTCAAATGTGCTGAATCACCCACAGGTAAAAGAGCTACAGTAGTGAATACTGCAGTGTGTTTGAACCATACTATAGTAAAGTGCATTGTGCTGCAGTATATATTATGGTATTTACAACAGTCCAGCATACAGGAGTGTTGCTCCAGCTCCATCACACTGTAGTATTTACTGTAGTGCAAAAACCTGTAATAAACACTGTAGTGTACTTTACTTTTTACTACAGTAAACTGTGGTGTAAAGCAGAATAATATACCCTATAGCTGGAGACAACTACAGTACTGGCTCATTTGTTTATATTACTGTAGTTGTTGTGTTACCATAGCAACTGTAGAATCACCACAACAGGTAAATTACTGTAGTTGTTGTTACCATAGCAACGGTAGAATCACCACAGCAGATCAATTACTGTAGTTGTGTTACTATAGCAACTGTAGAATCACCACAGCAGATCAATTACTGTAGTTGTTGTGTTACCATAGCAACTGTAGAATCACCACAGCAGCTTAACTCAAGTGCTTTAGTATAGTATGGTTCATCAACACTACAGTGTTTACTGTAAGATAGTGTTTGGTCATGTGCGCTTGATGACTGAAGCTAGCCGCCATGTCTAATAAAGCATGTAAAGGTCAGTCTGCAGCTCAGTAAATGGAGCTTTTTAAGTCACATGTGGAGTGAAATCCTCTCATGTCCAGAGCGAGTTGAGGAGTGTGGGCTGGTGTGACATGAACACAAACTCGCGTCATAATCAAACCAGCTTTTCAGGATGACTCAGCAGGTAAACAGATGACGACAGAGGTCAGGTGTGAGCGCAGGTGAGGTCAAAGGTCACATTCCTTACATTCTAGCCCTGAAGACATCTGAGTTTTAGAACAGTGTTATTTTAATCTGTATCACTTATAATACAGTTTTAGCTATCATAGTATCAGTCTTTAGTGTGCACCCAGCCTGAAGTGCAGCAAAACAGAATATTGACATGTTGAAAACAGAAGTCATGTTTAAATATGCAAATGAGGCATCTGAATCTAAAGTCAGGGTTAAACGATTGCTTGATTTTATTTCTGTTTGTGAATTACACAAAAAAAACCTGCTCTAAATAATGTAACTGACACACTGAGATGTATATATTTCCAGTACACTGGGTTAAAGGAAATATGTGTGTATTAGTGTAAGATCTAATACAAATATAGCAGAAATCTACAGAAATAAAGAGATTAATGCCAAAACAGAGCAAGACTAATCACTGTATTTCCTCTTTGAGCAATTATAAATCCCCCATTTACTTTGTTTTTAAGCGATACACATTAAAGACTCTGTAAATGATGAGAAGATAAATCAGTGCTGTACTGCCGCCCTGTGTTCATCAGAGCTGCTCCAGTGTCAAGCACACTTCACATTTAATCCAAAACCCTGCTGGCAACCATTTCCATGCTACTAGCACTTATTGTAGGATAATACTATTATTCCTTTAGGTGCTAGCACTTATTCATCAGCTTTACTGCGCATTCTGTAGACAACAGTACAGTTTTCAGATTCTAGATATGTGATATTTCAATATATATATACTATTAGAATATAATCAGTGGCTCAGTAGGTAGCACTGTGGCCTCACAGCAAGAAGGTCACTGGTTTGAGTCTCGGCTGGGTCAGTTGGTGTTTCTGTGTGGAGTTTGCATGTTCTCCCCATGTTGGCGTGGGTTTCCTCCGGGTGCTCCGGTTTCCCCCACAGTCCAAACACATGTGCTATAGGGGAACTGATCAACTACACTGGCACTAGTGTATGAGTGTGAGTGTGAATGAGAGTGTATTGGTGTTTCCCAGTGATGGGTTGCAGCTGGAAGGGCATCCGCTGAGTTAAACATATGCTGGATAAGTTAGCGGTTCATTGCACTGTGGCGACCCCTGATTAATAAAGGGACTAAAGTAAAGGAAAATGAATAAATAATCACATCCAAAATAAAAGTGTGTTTTGACATAATATATGTGTGTGTGTGCTGTGTATATTTATTATGTATATATAAATACACACATACATGCATATATCATATAATATATTTCATATTTAGATATAACATATATATTTGCATATGATACAAATTAAATATAAATTTGAATATCTCTGTAAACAATGTAGTTTTTTTTCTGTATGTGTGCCTATGACATGCATAATAGATAAATAAATATATATATATATATATATATATATATATATATATATATATATATATATATATATATATATATATATATATATATATAATACACACATTTGGATGCAATTACTCAGATTTAATCATTGCACAGCACTAATTTATATTATATATTACCTATTATTTTGGTTCATTTTTAAAAGATACTCGTAATAATTAAATATTGGCTGTATCACCAGTACTTAATTGTTAGACACTATTAAAGAGACATTAGAGATGATTCATTAGAAACTAGTTATTATATTTACTTATTTATTTATATTATTTAACTTCCTTAACTGTTAATACATTTAATAATTTATATATATTAGTAATATTGTTAAATATAGAAGATATTTCAGTGTTTGTCTTGTTATTATAGCTACTCCGGCCTGCCGTGTAACGCTGCTGTCTGGACCGGCCTGTCCTGTCTGCTTTATCACTGATTGATTTTCCGCTTCTGTGAACTGAATCTTCATCATGACTTGCAGTTCTGATTGTAAGAGATTTAAGGGATAGTTCACTAGAAATTATTATGTCATCATTTACTCTCCTCAAATGATTCAAACAAACAAACAAAGTATCAGGTAACCATTGACTTCAATAGCATTTGTTTTTCCTCAATGGTTACCGGTTTTCAGCATTCTTCAAAATACCTTCTTTTGTGTTCAACAGAATAAAGAAACTCATGAAGGCTTGGAAACACTTGAGGAAGAGTAAACAGTGAGTAAATGTTTAATTTTTGGGTGAACTTATTTTTTTAAATAACATTTTAATAGTATAAAATGTACATGCCAGGGGGTAAGTATAGATTAAATTCAAGTATACAGAATGTACATATGTAATAATCAAATGAAGACATTGTAGAATTCACCAAGTTATAAAGTCTGTAGGGCTTTCTTAGAGAATGTTTGGGTGAACTGTCCCTTTAATGACGGGAGCGCGTTTCCTTTAAGACGCATGACGCTGTGAGTGACGTCTGCGCACGCGCCAAACACGGCGGGTAAATTGAACGCTGTTGCTAACCAACCGCCAGCCCGCGGTGAGCGATTATCTCCGGGTTAACAGCCCTGAAGCCGGCTTTATCCTCTTTATTTGTGCACATCTTCGTCCGCGTGTCTCCCGTGGGTTACTGGAGAATCTCACCGTCTGGAGGACCGCAGCTCTCACAGCAGAGCGGATGTAAACAAACAGAAGATCCGGTTTCATTCATTCACCAACGCTGCAGTTCTTCATCATCAGAGAATAACATGAGCTCTGCGCTGGTGTGTGTGTGTGTGTGTGTGTGTGTGTGTGTGTGTGTGTGTGTGTGTTTCATTTGTTTGTATGTGAGTGTGTGAATGAATTAGTGTGTGTTTGAGTTGAGTTAGTGTGTGTGTCCTCTTTATTTGTGTGTGTGCGCATGAGTAAGTGTGTTATTGTGTGTGTAAGACATGTAAGTGTAGGCAGTGTGAGTGTGTGTGTGCTCTTCATTTGTGTGGTTGTATGTGTGTACTCTCTCTGTGTGTGTATGTGTGCATGCTTCTCATTTTGTGTGTGTGTGTGTGTGTGTTTCAGGATGATCCGACACTCGAGCGCAACTTTAAGGGCCACAGAGATGCGATCACCAGCCTGGACTTCAGCCCCCAGCGGCAAACAGATCGGTAACTTACACAGATAATAACATTTACACCAATAATAACAATAGCACAGATAATAACAGCTGGTAGATAATAACATCTACAATGATTATAACATTAACACTGATAATAACATCTATATGGATAATAACGGCAATAACATACTTCATTGATAATCTATACACGATACTAGCATATGCACAATAATAACATTCACTAATAATAACATACACCAATAATAACCATAATAACAGCTATACTGATAATACCATCTACACCAATAATAACATCTAAACAGATAAAAACTATGATACCGTGTACAACAATAATAACATAACATTGATAATAACATTAACACTGGCAATAACATTACACTCATAGTAGCATTAACAACATTAATAACATTAAACTCATAATAAAATTAACACTGGTAATAACATAACTCTCATGATAACATTAACACCGGTAATAACAATACACTCATGATAACATTAACACCGGTAATAACAATACACTCATGATAACATTAATACTGGCAATAACATTACACTCATTATAACATTAACAACAGTAATAACAATACACTCATGATAACATTAACACCGGTAATAACATTACACTCATGACAACATCAACAACAGTGATAACATTACACTCATAACATTAACACCGGTAATAACATAACACTCATGATAACATTAACAACGGTAATAACATTACACTCATGATAACATTAACAACGGTAATAACATTACACTCATGATAACATTAACAACGGTAATAACATTACACTCATGATAACATTAACACCGGTAATAACATTACACTCATGATAACATTAATACTGGCAATAACATTACACTCATTATAACATTAACAACAGTAATAACAATACACTCATGATAACATTAACACCGGTAATAACATTACACTCATGACAACATTAACAACAGTGATAACATTACACTCATAACATTAACAACGGTAATAACATTACACTCATGATAACATTAACACCGGTAATAACAATACACTCATGATAACATTAATACTGGCAATAACATTACACTCATTATAACATTAACAACAGTAATAACAATACACTCATGATAACATTAACACCGGTAATAACATTACACTCATGACAACATTAACAACAGTGATAACATTACACTCATGATAACATTAACAACGGTAATAACATTACACTCATGATAACATTAACACCGGTAATAACATTACACTCATGATAACATTAATACCGGTAATAACATTACACTCATGATAACATTAACAACTGTAATAAAATTACACTCATGTTTCAGCCTCGGGCTCGGTGGATGCCTGTGTGATGGTCTGGAACATGAAGCCTCAGTCGAGGGCCTACAGGTTTACTGGACACAAGGATGCGGTGACGTGTGTGCAGTTTTCTCCGTCTGCTCATC